TTGAGAGGAATAATACATGGATGCTGGTAGATAGACCATCTAGCAAACCTGTGATAGGTGTGAAGTAGGTATACAAAACAAAACTGAACCTTGATGGAAGCATTCAGAAAAACAAAGCTAGACTGGTTGCAAAAGGTTATTCACAGAAGCCAGGCATTGACTTTAATGAGACCTTTGCACTAGTTGCAAGGTTTGACACCATAAGGACTTTGATTGCACTTGCAGCTCAGAAAGAATGGCAACTATTCCAGTTAGATGTAAAATCTGCATTCCTTAATGGTGTACTCAAAGAGGAAGTTTATGTTGATCAGCCTCAAGGATTTGTCATACAAGGCAAGGATGATAAAGTGTATAAGTTAAGTAAGGCATTATATGGCCTTAAACAAGCTCCAAGAGCTTGGTATGATGAAATTGATTCTTACTTCACCAAGGCAGGTTTTAAAAGAAGTCCTAATGAAGCCACCTTATATACTAAGGTTGAAAAGTTAGGGATTCTCATAGTTTCTGTCTATGTTGATGATATTGTGTACACTGGAAGTAGTGACACAATGCTTGACAGATTTAAAAACGACATGATGCAGCATTATGAGATGACTGATTTGGGATTGCTATATCATTTTCTTGGTATGGGAATTGTTCAAACCAAGAAAAACATCTTCATACATCAGAAGAAATATGCAATGAAACTGCTGGAGAAATTTGGACTACAAGGTTGTAAGTCTGTGGGAACACCACTGGCAGCAAATGAAAGGTTATGCAAGAATGATGGGAGTGAAGCTGCAGATGAGTCTGAATACAAGAAATTGGTGGGAAGTCTTCTGTATCTTACTGCCACTAGACCAGATATAATGTTTGGTACTAGTCTCTTGGCAAGATTCATGCATGGTCCAACTAAGAAACATATGGGAACAGCAAGAAGAGTACTAAGATACATTCAAGGTACTATGGATTTTAGCATTGAATATGTAAAAGGAAAGTCAGCAGTTCTTATTGGATATTGTGACAGTGACTGGGCTGGGAGTATTGATGACATGAAAAGTACATTAGGGTATGCTTTCAATCTTGGCTCAGGTGTGTTCTCTTGGGCATCAGTTAAACAAAACACAGTGGCATTATCCACTGCAGAGCTGCTGAAGTAACATCTCAGGCCAAATGGTTAAGATTTGTGTTGGAAGACTTCGGGGAAGAACAAGTTGAACCTACTTTGCTAATGTGTGATAACACTTCAGCAATAGCTATTGCCAAGAATCCTGTGTTTCATCAGAAAACAAGACACATTAGCAGGAAATTTCATTTCATTAGAGATGCAATACAAGAGAATGAGATTGAACTTGTTTATTGCAAATCTGAAGAACAAATGGCAGATATCCTGACAAAGGCACTACCAAAGGAGAAGTTCAACTATTTCAGAGAAATGCTAGGAGTAAAGTCAGTTGCCAGCTTAGAGGAGAGTGTTGATGTTTAAGCCTTGTAGCTGCCTTGTGTTTGTTGTGTTCTGTTTCATTGTAATTCAAAGTCTCTTTTCTCTTTGAAATGTAAGGCTGAGATTAAATCAAAGCTAATAGGCTAAATGTATGTGTGTCTCATGGTATAACATCTCACTCATATGTGAGCATGTGAGATACACGTGAGTTTGTGTAATGGGAGAGGTAGTGCGCCTTCAAACGGCTATATCTTCCCCCACTCTATGTTTGTAGCTTCTTAATCATTTCAGTCATAGCTGAATGAAATCAGAGAATTCACAGAGCTCTTCATCTTCTTCGTATCTCCATTTTCGTTTTCGTTCTTGGTTGAAATCAAAATCTTATTGATTTCTTCTTGGTTTTGTGCTCTGCTGTTCCATAGAACTCTAACAGGGGCTTCATTGGGCACGTAGGGGTTACGGCTAAGAATTCGAGCAAAACATGTATAACAATCAGGACAAGGCAAGTTCAGGCCTCTACTGCGTTACAAGCTGATGTTATAACGATTTTGGAGGGTTGTCTCCTTGCCAAACTCTGGAATTTTCCTCGAATCACGATTGAATCTGATTGAAAATAGGTGGTTTATGTTTAAATAATGCCATCAACACTTGCAGCTGGGACATCTTCCCCATCCTTGGCTGTACCTTGAAGCTTGGGAGCTCCTTTCAAGCATGTTCATGGTCTTAGGTCCCAAGTTCGGAAAATGAAACGGCACACTTCGTTGCGATGCACCATGGAGCAAAGATGCGCTACTTAGTCTGGGTCGAAAGGCCCCCATCTTCGTTTGTAAGAATTTTGAACAAAGACTGCCTCCAATGCCCTCCTTTGTAAATGATGGTAGTGTAGGAAAGGAATTGAAGTCGGGACCTTCTATGGCAGCGTCACTATATTTTCCCTGCTCTTGCGGGTTTATGTTTCTATGTTGAACTTTGAAGTGTTTCTCAATCATTTTGCATCATTGGCTTTGCCTTATTTAATGAAATGCTTTTTTTTTCTTATAAAAAATAATTCTAACAATAATTTAAATTGTTAAATGCTCTGGTGTAGAGAGAGGGAGGTGAGTAGATTGGTCAAAAGTTTAAAATCAATAAAGAAAATGCAACATGGGTTGCGGCTAGGGATTTGATAGATAAAGTAGGTGGTGATGGGAGGTGGCGATGGACGAGGGAGAAGGTCGGCAGGGGAGGGGCGGCGAAGGTGGGCCTGAGGTATATAACCCGTTCTTTTTTAATTTCCTTGATTCCACTCTTGTTGAATTCTACTGGCCCATGACCAGATACAAGATTTGGGCCAAGAACAATCAAATCATAATAGCCCGACTCTCATGAAATCTTGATTTTTTTTTTTTTTTTCTTTTTGGAAACAGATGGCAAGTGATTTTTCCGCTCCCAGTTTCTTCTTCAACACTTAGAGATTTCTGTCTTTTGATTCTACTTGGAATTATTCAATCCGAGTTTAATAACAAACTTAGAGATTTTTCTTACAATAATTCTTGACAATCCACAAAAAATAAGATAAAGAAAAGTGCACGATGACTTTTAAAAAAAAAAAATCCGATAACAAGTCTTCATTTGTTTTTTGGCAAAAAATTTGGACTTTGATGCTCCACAGTTATAATTTTCCATTGGTAGTTAAGGTTGGTGGTTTGAAAAACCTTAGTGTCAAAGGGGTAAATGCGTCCGTCGTGAATAGGGTGGATATCTCGTATCCAAAAACTAGCGTCAAACTCGATTTTCTACAATGAACTATTTTTATCAATGGATTAGTTCGAATCAAACTTGAGATAATGGGTGCAATCCAAAAAGATATTCATCCGCTACCAAATTCTGAGGAGTCAGCATCCATTTTAAACGTAACATCATGCAAACAGGAAAGAGTAACAAACAAACAAACAATTGAAGAGCTTGTCTCTGCAACACAATTTCCCAACTTCCTCCACTTCCACATTAGTGAAGTAACCATCCAAACTCCTCACTGGAAAAGCTAGTGGAATAAAGATCTTACAACAAACAGATAGTTGCATAAAGATCGTACAGCTCTAGTGTTTTCTCAACTAGAGCTAATCTTATAGATAAATGCTAACACGTCCCCCCTCAAGTAGGAATCATTATGAATCGAACAAACAAGAATTGGAACACAAACAGGTCCTAATATGCGACTGATACAAACCGACAATATTAAACACAACCAAATAACAAAATGTTGACAACTAAACCATATGAGCCGAAGCTGTTTGTTTTTAAGCTTTTGAAACATCAGAAGGGAAGTACCATTGCTATATTCCATGGGCAAGTAATCCCTATTCAATAAATCGTAACAACCAACCGCGCTTTGCTTTCTACGATGGCAGAATGTAGATTTATGCCAAAAGTCTTGTAAATCAGTAATTAATCTTCCAATTCTCAACTATACGTGAGGTGAGTAGAGCTTAGCTAGCAAACCTTACATAGTCTGCCGCAGATCACAAAACCAACAGAGTTCACAGAACTAGCATAGCATAAAGCTCACCTCATTCTAAAATGAATTAAGAGAACTAGCAGAGCATTTAACGTCACGCTTAACAGAATTTTATCATATAATTAGAAGACATCTTGAAGATTTCTTACTTTTGTGTGGTAACAAGTATTCTATTTGCTCTGTACTCAGCCAGCAAGGTCTGTCTATTGAGATGACGAGGGGATTGACGAGTGTCAGACGGTGAACTCTGTGGATAAACTCTGCCCCAGTCAAAAATTTATGTTTCTGCATTCACTCCCATAACTATAGTAGTAGTCATCAAGAAATCAAATGATTCAAAGATATCAAGAGTAATGGGCACTCATTTTGTAAGAAGTTTAAGTTTATGAACACCCCGGCCCTCGTAAATAACGAACGTTATTCCTTCTAACTATAGTCCCCATCATTCGCAGGGAACAAGCCGACAAACAGTCAGTTATAATCAAGTTCCTTGCATTTGTTCATCATTCATCATATTCTGTATTTCCAATTATTAGATTTCACCCAAAAAGGACCAAGGGCATGGTTTTCTGAGCATACAACAATAGTCAATGTACAAACAATGACAAATGAAGTGCACATCCATTCCTACTTATCTAAGGAAGAAGCAATGATTAGTGGAGATCATACAACAGATACTGACTATCTTTCAGGATAATTTTCATTTAATGAACCAGCAACCAGCAAAGAATGCATGATTTATGCACAAAAGAGATGCAAACAAAAGGGAGATGCAACGATTTATATGATATTATCAACTCCGTCAAGAACAAAGCACAAAACAAGGAACATTTCAGCAAAAGAGGGCTTGTATGCAAATGATTAAACATCTTTCTCTAAAATCTCTATACCCTTTTTTCTTTGGATCCCCTTTTTTCCAACCAGTTCTTATTGGCAAAAGTCTACTTGTTTTCTCTCATCATGAATCTCCCAAGTTAGCACAATTCTGTTTTCCTTTTAATCTTTTAAATTTCTACAAATTCAAAACTATTGGATCCTCAAATTCTCAATCATTCAATGTAATTATGTAACACTTCAACATTAGAGAGCAAAATAACGAAGGGATAAATATTACTCGATTTTGATCCAAACACAATCCAAGAGTCAACAGATCCAAACTTTAAACAAAATTGAAACCCTAACAACATCAACTCTGCGAAAATTTACAGAGCAAAGCGAAAACAAAGCATTCGTGTCATTGAATTACCGATTAAGCTCCGAATCCGAACCCGATCCGAACCAGGACTCAGAACTCAAGCTCCGCCACCAGATCGGTGGAGGTACAGCTTGCCAAACACATGAAGAGCCGTGACGAAGCCTATGAAGCAGAGACTCATGACGAGGACAACAGTCGGGGTGATCTTCAAGCCAGGAGCGTCGTCCGTGTAGAACCTCAGCATGTTGTTTCCGGCACCTGATCCGCCTCCTCCTCCGCCGATGCTTCCGGAGCCGGTGGAGCCTCCCACACGACGGCGACGCATTCCAGCCGTCGCGGCGGCCGAGCCCCGCGGAGCCATGACGCCGGGGCGCGCAGTCGCAGAGGACGACGACGACGCTTGGGACTGAGATGAACCTCGAGCCATTGTTAGGACAACACGAAGAGGGCGTGAGTTACAACGAGAGAGAGAGAGAGAGAGAGAGCAACCGAGCAAATGAAGAAAATTTAGGGAGTGTAATTAATGTGGACGATACTTAATTATTATTTTTGTTTACTTCTTTATAGTTGGGTTAGACACGTCAAATTATAACATTTAAATTATAATGGATGGTTAAACGTGGTAACTTGAAGTTTTATATTAAATTTTGTATTCCTCTAAATAAATTATCAAATGTTATTTTCTTTTAATTATATAGAGTTTTAAATTGTTGTATTTATTATAAAAATTAATTGAAACAAAATTTTTATTGGTTGAAATATTAGTAAAATAAGAAACCTACCATTAAAATTAATAAGTTCTACGAAATTTTCAAATTCAGTCAATAAATAACACTTCGATTGGAAGAATAGAATTTAACATTAATTTTAAAGATGCTCTTGGTTAAATTGTGATGTCAAAAATAAATATGTACCGCCTAAGGAAGGCCAGTGAAGTTAATAAAACAGTTACAGTTGGATCAACAGAACCAGATCAAGTGCCAAAAAATGCTATTATTATTTGGATAAATTATATTTTACTCTTTTAGGTTTGGGTGCGATTACAATCTCATACAACATTTTTAAAATATTTCAATTTCATACATTTACTATTATTTTATTTCAATTTCATGCATCCGTTAAAAAATCTGTTAGTTAAACCGTTAAATAATGAATAATGACATGACAAATGTGGAGTCCTCATTAGTGTTGACGTGACTGTCAAACTTGTGCTACATGGACAAATAACTAATAAAAAACTAAAATTTAATTATGACATTAAAATATTAAAAGAATTGGAAGTATATATAAATAAAAAATATGGTTCATCTTCCCCAACGAACACCCATTTCTCCCATCACCACCCCCTTCCACCATGACTTCTGCACCTCTTTCTCTAACCAGAAATTCCTAACTCCCCATTTTTCGCATCCAATTTTGCGTTTCACCTCTTTCTATAATTGGGATTTGTAAAACTTAAGTACACTCAAGGTTTCACTTCAATTGCACTACCCCTTCAATGATGGGATGCATGTATTTATATTGCATTCCAGATTACATCAGGAAATTGAAATCCCTATTTACAAGGCTATTTGAAATTCAAAGATACAACAGAAAGATTAAACTTCGAATTACATGTAAAGAAATATTTGAAAGAGTCTTAAACTAAACCAACTTTTGTTGGATAACGCTTCGATTTGATCACAAACTCTTGAAGACCCACGCAGACTATGACTTGGTCTAACATTCCCCCGTAAGCTGACAGGCGGATAAACAATTGGAAGCTTGGAGACTAGGAGTTTGAATTGCGTAGAAGACAGTCGTTTAGTGAATAAGTCAACAATCTGATCTTGAGAACAAATATAATTCACCATTAACTGACCACGAACCACCTTCTCACGAACATAATGATAGTGAACTTCCAAATGTTTCGTTCTTGAATGAAACACAGGGTTTGAAGCTAGGGTAATGGACGATATATTGTCGCACCAAATTGTTGGACAGACAAGATGTAAGGCTGGTTTGGTATTGCTGTGCTTTGAAAAAAAAAAACCGTTTCTGCTGTGCTGTGAGAATAAGCTCATTTTTGCTACTTAACGTTTTTCAGCTTTTTTTCACCCAAAATTGTGAAAATAAGCTATTTTTAAGTTTACCAAACACCTTTTTGAGTTCAGCTTTTTTTTATACCCACTTTTTATAAAAACACCTCATTACCAAACCAGTACGTAAATGTAAGTCACGGAAAAGGAACCTTAGCCATAATAGTTCTATAGCTATGTAAGCTAGCTACCTGTACTCAGCTTCTGAACTGGAGCGAGACACAGTTTTTTGTTTCTTAGAGCTCCAGGACACAAGTTAGAGCCTAAGTAAATGCAGAAACCACCAGTGGAATGCCGAGTGTCAGGATTCCCAGCATAATCAGCATCTAAAAATGCCGTGAGATGTGCAGTACCAGGTTTATACAGAAGGCCATGCTTGTACGTGGCCTTAACATAATGAAGTATCCTTTTGACAGCTGTCCAATGTGTATTCTTTGGAAAGTGCATGAACTGACATACCTGATTCACAGCGTAAGAAAGATTGGGTCTCGTGATGGTAAGATACTGAAGTGCTCCAACAACACTTCGATACAAGTCGGGACTGTTATATGGCTCACCATCATACGCACTCAATTTCTGGGCGCAAAGAACTGGAGTTGAAATTGGTTTGGCATCCAAGAATTTGGTATCTTGCAACAAATCCTATGCATACTTAGCTTGACTTAAATGCATCTGATCATCCACATATTTTACCTCAACTCCTAGAAAATAATTAAGTGGACCCAAATCCTTCATGGAAAACAAAGTTCCCAACTTTTTAATTAAGCAAGCCATTTGTCGTGAACTATTTCCTGTCAACAAAATATCGTCCACATATATCAAAAGTATCAAGTAAATACATCTATGATTGTAAACAAATAAAATGTAATCACAAGTGGATGCTTGAAACCCTAATTGGAGCAAAAATTTTTGAAAATCGATGAAACCAAGCGTGATGAGCTTGTTTCAAGCCATATATACTCTTTTGCAATTTGCAAACATAGTTAGGGTACTACTTATCAACAAAACCTGTAGGTTGTCGCATATACACTTCCTCATTCAAAAATCCATGCAAGAACGCATTTTGTACATCCAATTGTTTGATGTGCCACTTTTTTGAAACTACAAGACTGAGAACAAGCTTATGGTGCTGTGCTTCACCACAGGAGTGAATGTTTCTGTATAATCAATACCAGGCTTCTGATGAAACCCATTTGCAACGAGTCTTGCCTTATGCCTTTCAACTGAGCCATCTACATGTTTTTTAATCTTGAATACCCATTTGTTAGGCAACAAGTTCATTCATGGATGATACGAAACAAGTTTTCAGGTACCACATTGCTGCAATACATTGAACTCTTGAACCATAGCATTCCTCCATTACTGTTGCTTGATGGCCTGACTAAAACAGGTTGGTTCAACTTGAGAATGATCAATGTTAACATGCAAAGCATATTTAGGATTACGTTTTTGAACGCCAAATAGTGAGCGAGTAGTCATTCTTTGTGGTTGCACTAGCTGTTGATTTGAGGAGGTAGCACCATGATTATCAACTAACATGGATTGGTGCATATGAGGAGATTGTACCACCTCTTGCTCATTTGAAAATGGGTTGGTAGGCCTAGAGTTTTGTAAAGGCATAATGGGTGGCGTGTCTAAAGGATTGGGTAAGGTAGTGGCTGCGAGTATGTGATTTGAATTAGGATTAGGAATATTGGATGTGATGTTATTTGGTTAAGTTAGGGACTCTAAAGGCTGACTAAGAGGTAACGGATTTGCCTGTGTTGATGGAGATAAAATTGGAAAAGTAAACAATAAGTCAGGGGAAGTAATACTACTTGTGTGTCCAACGCTCTCCAGGGAAGATGTGAGTTCCTTAAATGGAAAAGTATCCTCATCAAATAGGACATGGCGAGACAAATATATTCGTCTCGTGGACAAGTCCAAGCATTTGTACCCTTGATGAGTCAATGAGTAACCTAAAAACACACATGGTTTTGACTTTTGTTGGAATTTATTTTGCGCATAAGGCACTAATCAAGGATAACATTGACAACCAAACACTTTAAGATTTTCATATTTTGGAACTTTGTCAAACAATTTTTCATACGGTGAATTATGGGACAAAGCACGATTTGGCAACCTATTGATTAAATAAGTTGCTGTTAAACAAGCATCCACCCAATATTTATTTGGAATATATCATGAGAAAGCATGACAATACTAGTCTCAACAATGTGACGATGTTTTCTTTCTGCAATACCATTTTGTTTAGGGTGTTTTGGACACAAAAATCTTTGTGAAATGTAGTGAGTTGCATGATAATTTTGAAAGACATGACTTTTACACTCACCTCCTTCATCACATTGAAGAGTTTTGATTGAACTATTAAACATGTTTTTGACTTGTGCTTTAAACCTCACAAATATTTCAAATACTTCAAATTTATTTTTCATTGGAAAAATCCAAGAATATCTAGAATAATCATCCACAAACAACACATGATAACGAAAACCTTCAATTGAATTAATTGGAGAAAACCAAACATCAGAATGCAAAAGTTGCAAAGGAAATTGAGAAACAGACTCCGAAATACTGAAAGGTAATTTAGTACTCTTTCCTAAGGGACATGACTGACAATGCATTACATTGGAAGCACCAAAAATTGGTACTTCCTTATTTGAAATTAAAAACTTAACAATAGACGAGGCAGGATGACCAAGGCATGAATGCCATTTTTGAGCTGAGACTCAAATGCCTACACACACTGAAATAGGGTAATTAAACTGTCCACCGCCACCTAAAAATGGGTATAAGCCATTCTCACATCTCTTGTGGAAAAGAGTCTTTCGGGTCTTGAGGTCCTTCACAATGAAAAAATGAGGAAAAATAAGTATGCAACAGTGATTGTCTAGGGTAAATCTATGGGCATAAATAATATTTGTGGAGGCAGTGGGACATCTTAGGATATCTTTCAATTCAAATAAGCAAGATTTAGTTTGTAATTTATTTGAACCAGGATGCGAAATAGAAATTCCATAATCATTACCTACTCCACCAACATTCTCATTACCGTTATACTCCTTTGGATTAACCAAATTCTAAATGTATGGAGTGACATGTGCATTGACACCAGTATTGAGCAACCACTGCCCATTGTTTTGTCGGTTAAGAGTGATTGGAGATATAGCCATGGCAGTGAGTCTCTTGGCTGGGATCCTTCATTCATATGCATCATGCATTCTCTAGTAGCAATCTAGAGCAGGATGCCCTTATTTTCCACAAATTTGGCATGTAATCCTTTCTCCTACACTATTGAACTTTTCACCATTGCATGCAAAATTAGGTCTCACATTGTTGTTTTTATTATTGTTGTGGGGATTGAAAACTCGCTGGTTTCCAGTAGCACCACCACAACCAAACAGAAACATTCTTCGTCCATTTCCACGACGTTGTCCACCACGACCTCTTGCAGTGACAAACGCATTAACAGGAGCAGCCTCTATAAGTGGAGCAGTGTGCTCAGTTATTCTCCTCTCTATTGTCAGTAAGAGCACCTCAAGTGTAGGGTACATGATTGAAGTATCACGTGCCTGAGCAGCGTTGATTGTCATCTCATAAGTAGGCCCAAGATTGTTCAAGATAATCTAGACAACTTCATCATTATCCATAGGTTTGTCACCTAGGGCAAGGTTATTAGAAATAGCATTCACCTTATCAAGATAATCAGCAATCGACAAATCACCTTTTTTTTTGTTTGCATAAGTTCATTCCACAGAAACAAGATGAGATTCTGGGACGTAGAGGCATAACGTTGCTCGAGAACCTCCCAGGTAGCACGAGAGGTCATCTCGCTGGCCACAATCGAGAGCACAGACGGCGTGAGAGAGCCATTAATCCAGCTTAGTATCATTTGATCGTGTTGCACCCATGTTGTGTATGCATGATTGGTAGTTGCACTTCCAGAAAGCTGGTTGAGAGGGCAAACAATAGTTCCATCGACTCTTGAGAATAAGTAAAATTTGAGCCAACCATAAAGGATAGTTGGTCTAATCCAGCTTAATGTTCACAACAGTAGTTAAGGAAAAGAAGGGGTTCATAGTAGAATTTATGGGGTTGGAGTTGGTGGTTGGGGTTGCAGCACCGTTGCTAGAATTTGCCATGGAAATAAAAAATAAATAAAAAAAGGAACTGTGTCGTTAGACTACTAAGGCTCGTATACCATGTAAAACTTAAGTACACTCAAGGTTTCACTTCAATTGCATTACCCCTTCAATGATGGGCTGCATGTATTTATATTGCATTCTAGATTACATTAGAAAACTGAAATCCCTATTTACAAGGCTATTTGAAATTCAAAGATACAACAAAAAGATTAAACTTTGAATTACACGTAAAGAAATATTTGAAAAAGTCTTAAACTAAACTAACTTTTGTTGGATAACACTTTGACATGATCACAAACTTTTGAAGACGCGCGTAGACTATGACTTGGTCTAACAGGATTGAGCTGGAGTGAAACGCAACTCAATACTTTTACTTTTCCAACTACAGATGGATGTTGTCAAATCTAAAGTAGTTACAAGGACAGGTGGTTCAGACAATGATTTTTCAATGGACGATGCCAAAATTGGCAATGATGACGAGGAGCAAAGGGCGTGATGACCTTGAACGCGTTCGATTTGATTTCGTTCTCGGCCGAGCTGGACCTGTCAGGGTTGTTCGAGCCGTTGAGCAATAGACCGGTGGAAGATGGCGAGCAATTTATCAAAAAACTTACAGAGATAGAGAGAGAAGAGATTGGTTATTGGTGGAGGTGGGTAGATTTTTAGGGTTTATCTTTAATTATTGCGATAAATCCGAGGATTGACGAAGTTTGTAAATGCGGAGAAGCTAAAGGTAAGGCTATCTCCAACCGAAGGGCCCAAAGGGTTAGAGGATCGAAAATTGCCCGAAAACCCACTCCAACCAATGGCTAGGCTAGATAGCTCGTGGGCCCCACAGAATCTGAAAGGCCCAAATGACCAACTGGCTAGCCCAATCTAGCCAGCCCGCCCTGGGCTGAGCCATTGTGATTAATCCTGTCGGATATAACTGACAATAATAATACTTATTCCTATCGGATATAACCGACAGGAAAGGTTGCCAAAATTTGAAATTCAACGGCTAGTTACCATTGGATTCAAATGTTTTTTTTTTATTATTATTGGGCCAAATTTTTGTTTATGAAATTTAAAAATTGCTCTTTTTTTTTTTTTTTCTTCCTAAGCCATTCCTACGTCTTTTAAAATTTTATATTATACCTTGGTTTATGAAATTTAAAAATTCCCTTTTTTTTTTTTTTCAAGCGATACCTAAGCCATTCCTACATCATTTCTCACATAATTTTTACGATTTCATACTATCTCTCTTCATTCTATTTCAATTCTTCACATTATATGTTCTTACCTCTTGCAATAATCTTTCCGTCAATTTTTTCAATAACATTATATAACATTAAACAATATTAAACAACATTAAATAACATTAAATAACATAAAAATTATACAACATAAAAAAAAAAATATTTAACAACATGAAACTTAAACAACATTTTGAAAAACATTTAACAATATAAAACTTAAACTCCTACTCCATGCTATTTTTGGGCCAAAGATGTGCAACAAGATCTTGTTGTAGGTACTTGTTTATGGCACGGGAACGTATCATTCTATAGCCTCATGTACTCATTTATAGAGATACTACAAGTTCATGGATTGAAAGGCAAATTAGGCCCATCATATATTTTTGCAGAAGCCATCTTGACCTATTTAGATCCTCTTGGTCGTCATCAGACTCTCCATCTATATACCCATCTCGCTCATCCTCCACAATCATATTGTGTAATATGATGCAAGACATCATGATGGAGTCTAAATTTTCTCGACTCTACCCTCTTGCCGGTTCGCTGATGATCTTCCACCATACTTGTAGAATACTGAAAACTCTCTCAACATCTTTCTGGTATGCCGCTTGGTGTAAGGTAAACAAATTTTCAGCGTCATTCCTAGGGTTTGGAATTGCTTGGACAAGTGTCACCCACTTTGGGTAGATGCCATCTGCCAAGTAATACCCCATATTGTACTGATGACCGTTGATGTAGTAGTCAAGTTGAGGTGCTTTACCTTTTGTCAAGGTATTGAAGAGAGGTGAATGCCCAAGAACTGTAATGTCATTTTGGGATCTAGGGACTCCAAAGAAAGCAGGCCAGATTCATGTGTCATACGAGACAACCGCCTCTAACACAACAATTGGCTTTCTCGACCTTCCACAGAAGTCTCCTTGCCATTTGGTGGGGCAGTTCTTCTAATCTCAATGCATGCTGTCTAATGACCTTATCATGCCCGAAAACCCACGGTTTTTAGCTATGCGAAGGAGCCGATCTAGATCTTCTTGATTTGGCTCGCGAAGGTACTCATCTTTGTAAACCTGAACAATTATGACACAAAATTGTTGAAGAGTTTCAAGGCATGTAGACTTAAACATACCATGGGTTTTATTCATCGAATCAGTTAGGGAGCCATAGACCATCATTTGAAGTGCAACAATAACCTTTTGATGAGGTGAGAAACCAGGGCGGCCTGCTCTGTCTCATTTCTATCAAAAGTATGGATTGAACTGCTGGACATCGCTAAGTACACGCTCAAAGACATGACGCCTCATCCGGAAAGGATGTCTAAAATCCTCTTCTATGTATACCAGTTGGGGTTGAAGTAGTTGTTCATCAAATTGGTATGCATCATCGCTCTGTTTCGTGGTTTGTAAGAGCGACCAGCAACAGAGCCACCTCATTCAGGTTGTTGCGCAGTTGGCTGACACACCATGGCCATAGCCATGGCTGTTGCTATGTTTTGTTCGTTGCGCTATGCTTTATCTTCTTCATCAGACTCCTCATCTTCTCGTCTCATTTATGCCCATTTTTCTTCCAATTTGGAATTGGATGAGGACTCCCAATTAGAATCCGAAGAGGATCCAAAGTTGGAATTCATTGCAAACTTGAATTGAAAGAGATTGAATTGAAATAGATTGAATTTAAAGTTGTGTGAATTATAGCCCAATATCCACCCTATTTATAGCCCAAAAAAAAAAATCAAATCCAACGGCTAGCTGACGTTATTTAGCCATTGGATTTTAATTTAAGAAGTAGTTTTTAAATAATAAATTATGTTTGGCCCTATGGCCATTTGATCTTCGGTTAGAGACGGTTTTTTGTGATAGGGCTAAAATGAGATTTATGGCCCTTTGGCCCTCAGTTGGAGATGGAGGCAAATATGGCATTGTACTGTTCATTAAAATATTAATATCTTACAGGGGCCGGATGGCTAAAACGAGCCCTCTGGCTAACTTCAGTTAGAGATGGCCTAAGGAGGAAGAAGAATAGGGTCTGGATATGGAAGGGCAGAATGAGATTTATCAATTGAGGTCGAGGTTTGCAGATTGACAGATAATTTGGTGGTGATGGAAAAAGGGTGCTTGGGGTGGGAAGATGAACCATTTTTGTTTTTTTTTTTTAAATTAATTATTTTAATATTTTAATGTCCTAATTAAATTTTAATTTTTTTATTAGTTATTTGTCTACGTGACATAAGTTTGGCAGCTACGTCAACATTAATGAGGACCTCACATTTGTCATGTTATTACTTAACGTTTACTTAACAAAATTTTATACAGATATGAAATTGAAATGAAATAATAAAAAATGTATTAGATTAAAATATTTTTAAAATATTGTATACGGTTGCAATTACACTGAAACTTGAAAGATTAAAATGTAATTTATCCTTATTATTTTATTGAATATGGATTCAATTAAATTACGATCAGTGGAACCAAATAAAAGTATGTAGGAATGAGGTTTAATTAGTTTTTAAATTCGAACGCATGGTTTATAATTAAGAAAAAATTAAACAGATTTTGATCTGAGTTTTACACGATTATTTGTTGGGTTGGGCCGATGCCTTGTCAATCATGCCAATTTAATCCGTATTTGATTTATAGTCCAAGGTTAATTCGTGCTCAACAACACTTGTGCGAGAGGGGGTGTCAAGAGACGACACACTCACTACAAAGGTGTTCACTTAACTTGGCATGTTAGAAACCTTTTTACCTTTTTATGGATGGATTAAACTCTCAACTTTGAAGACTTCGTTCTCCCCTTTAAATTAAGCTATCCACGTGACTCTCAATCTATTCTGACCTCTTGATACGCAATATTTCACTTCCTTTTTTGTACGCACGAAGGACCTTTTGAATTAGAGTCATGATTGACAAAAACTAAATGTCGAACTCACGACAAATGTTTAACGTTCTCGGATTGGTGAGCGAGACGCTAAGACACCTCTACTTTCATCTCCCCTCTCACTGCAGAGTTACCCACGACTTCTTCCCCTTTCAGGCTCGTCCCCCATCACCCGATGGATGGTAGATGGATTTGGGTTGCACGCATGTGGGAGTTGAGGATCCTTTTGGATCCATCGTTTGACCAAATGTGTATGTTGGGCTTTCGCCCCTATCCTTGCCTATTGGTCTCTCCGAGTCTCTTTCCATCCTGGTGTTCTGGTGGCGGAGACTGGATAATATTTTGCTGGAGAGATGTAGGTTTTCTTTTGGTTTGGGTTTTTTATTTTTTTTATTTTTATTTTTTAATCTTTATGGGCCTGAGTTAGATTGTAATTATTGTTATTGAGCTTTGACTAATTAGGTGCTTCTGTATTTTCTTTGGGCTTATGTAATATTTTGTTTCTTGTAATGAAACTTCTCTGGACCAAAAAAGAACTTCAACTACCTTGGGACTGAGTACAGTAACAGGTAACTGCATAAAAAGAGCTTCAATGATGATTTTATCATAACCAAATCAATACTTAAACCGGAATATTACAAACTCTGTTAACAAAAACTTACTCATAGGACCCAATAATTATAGTTACACTACCACCAACGAAAAAGTTAAAACTATACAGACTTGTTCCTACAAAATTACAAGAACAAAAAGCCATCATATATTTTATATATATAACATATATATACCTATGAAGATCTGATTCAGTGATTCACTGCTTGATTTGCCGAAAAAAATACCCCTAAGTAAGCTATATATGCAGGTTGCCGGGACGAAAAAATGGACCGTGAGCGGCACGAAGACGCCGCCTGGTGCGCTCTTTCGGGTCCTTCGGTTCCTCCTCAGCGCCAACGTAGTGAAACACCGTGACCATCACAAGTACAACTCCCAAACACAAGACTGCATAGCACTGCCTGCCCAACCTTCCCAAAAGTCCCTCAGCTACCTCCATATTCCTAACTCAATATTTACTCTTTTTTTTTTTTTTTTTTAAACTCAAAAGTTCACTGGATGTAGCTTATATAAGGAGAGAGGAAAGAAACAAGGGGCAGAGAGGTGTGGAATAAGCAGCAGCTAGCCGCTGGAAACAATGAAAAACCAGGGGTTGTTTGGTTTAAAACGTTTTAAGGCAACTGTGACTGTCGTTTTGCGGCAGACTTTGTTTTGGATGTCACCACGACGGCAAAATTGGTGTCTTGGGGTGTGCACACAAACTGACACTAGGGTTATTGAGGATTAGCCTGTGCTAGTTTCCAAATGTAGTGGTCTTTGAGGTGGAATTCAGGCATTGGTATTGGTGGGATGTAATATTCAGCACGACAAACAAAAAAATATAAAACTACATATAATACTTTACTAATTAAAATAATTTCACTATAAATTTGATGAGATAACTACATAATCCGTCTACTACAATGTGATTGACTTATAAAATAACCTGGAGAAAAAGAGAGAGAGAGAAAAATAAAAAAAACTAATCCCTAGCGAACAATAAATCTTATACTTGATGAGCAAAAAATCATAATCCTTAGCCCATAAGGTTTTTTCCGTTTACCGACATATGATTATTTTACTTTCGTATCTTCGCACGCTTCTTTACTATGATGAATTTTTAAGCCAAACATGTTACAAATTAGGTAACGTGAATCACGTATGATCGTTTGACTTCTCACATAAGTCAACTTGCTCTAATATCATATTAACTTTTAGTATTTGATGTTGTTTTCTTACTAAGAAAAGCTGAAAGAATGAAGAACAAAAGTTTTATATTATTTGTGTAAAGAAAGTTGCGGTTCAATCCATTGCACAATTCACATAAAAAACAAGAGAGTTTTAACGAAAAATCCACGGTACTGTTTACTTTAACGAAAAATTATATTTTTACACTAAAAAGTCAAACCTGATACTATTCACTTTACCCTTTATTTTGTCCTTATCGTTAAAACTCAAAGTTTTCAAAACATTTTCGTTAGTTTTTGTAAAAAAACAATCTCTTACACTTTTGCACTAAATTATATATACTTAAACTCAGTTTCTTAACACTGTTCATTAACAGTGAAATATCGAAATTGCCCTTAAAAATTTTCTTTTTGTTAGTTATCTTTCCTGCTTTCCACAGTTAAAGGACGGTTGTGCCCTTCACTTCCACGCGTCTTTGATCGCGGCTTTTTGCTTTCTCTTTGTTTTTCAGTTCCTTTTGACTGCTTTTAATCGAATTTTTACCCCATTACGTTTGGTTCTCTTCTTTTCCCCGTCTGCTCTCTCTTCCTCTCTTTTCTAGATTTAGCTTTTTTCCCCTATTATCTGCTCTCTCTCTCTCTCTCTCTCTCTCTCTCTCTCAGATTTAGCTTTGTTCCCTATTTTGTATCTTTTGGCTGATTTTGTGGGTTAGTGCTGTGGATCTTGGTGAGTTATTTGGTTTTCTTGCCACATGGGATTTCTTTTTTTTTTTTTTTCGTGGTTTATGTGTGATTCTCTGATGTGTTTTGATTTTTTATTTCAGAAAAAGTTAAGGATACAATCAAACGTTTACTGGTGAGTTTCTATTTTTTTTATTGTGTGTGATTTAATTTTTTTTTAAGCTTTGGTTGTACTTTTCTGATCTACTTTGATTTTTAGTTGCAGCAAAAGTTGTTGCTCGAATTTCCAGTTTTTCTCTGCGGCTTTGCAAGCTCTTTATCATCAAGGTATATCATTTTTTCCTTTTTCTTGAATCTTTTGTCGGATGGAATCGTTTTTTGTTTTCTTTTTTCGGAGGGACCATGTTTTGTTTGCATATGAGTTTTTTGTGGTTTTTGTTTGGATATTTCAGTTTTGGCCATTTGCAAATAGTTTTTCTCAATAAATAATGAAAAATGGGTCTCTGCTGTGAGTGATTGAATAATATTTACATTGCAATTAATAAAGTTAGCATTAATTGTGGTAAAATCAATTGTAAATTATCCAAAATGACAATATGATTGGAAACGCTATGGCGACGACAACCAGCAATCTTTGATATTGTGAAGATAACAATTTTAGTCTTTTTGGATTGAAAGCCTAATTGAGAATGCCAAACTAATAAATTTATTGAAAAATTACAAGATCTTAAAAATATGCAGATTTGAAAATGTGTAAAATTGTATACATATTTTTTAAAAGAAAAGCAAAACAACAATTATATATTTTTTAAAATAGTTGTCGGCATCGAATTTGTTTATTTGCAGAGTAAGGAGAACGTGACCCGATTCGCTGTAAGCTTGCAGTAAACTTTTATATTTGTTCAGGGTTATGAGAATTCTTACAAAAAGAAAACAACTCAGATTATAATTTTCCGTTTAAAACTGTTTTTAAAGCAACTGATGGTAAGACAAACAAAATGTTAAAAAATGTGAGGTACACCCGGCATCACCTGCTCTGCTTTTATGGAAGAGGATCCTCTCCTGAGCTGAGGAGGAGGATCCTCTTGACCACGAAATCCAGGCTGTTCAATTTTAGTTCAACGGTTCTAAACAGGGAGGTCTTCTAAAAGTTATAATAATTGTAATCGTTGAATTAAGATTGAACGGTTCGAATTTTGTGGTCAAGAGGATCCTCATCTTATGCTCAGGAGAGGATCCTCTTCCTGCTTTTATGAGAATTCTTACAAAAAAATATTAAAAAAATGTGATAAAGCAACTGATGGTAAGGTAAAAAAATCTAAAAAAATGTGAGTTATGAAAGAATTTAAGCTAGGGTTGTAAACATAGATTGCATAAACTCAACTCAATTAATTATGAGTGAGGTATGGACTTCATTATATAGAGATTACAAGATGAGGTTGGTTACATATCATCTGATTACATTTGAAAATCAAAACTAAGTTACACATGAGTTTTAGATAAGGAAGGAGTGTGATTCCTTGCTATCTGTTGAAGAGGTTGAAGAGTATCCAACTTGTGTGGCTGACTTGGAGATACGTTTACCATGCATTTCGGACTTGGAGAGATATCTTGAATATTTGGTTTATCACGCCCCCGCAAGCTGAGTGGACGTTGACAAACAGGAAGCTTGGAGATGAGATAACTAAAACGAGCTGTGGACAAACCCTTGGTTAAGAGATCCGCGAGTTGGTCAACAGATGAAACATATCCCACAACTAGTTCTTTGCGAATTACTTTTTCTCGAACATAATGATAATCAACTTCCACATGACGCATACGAGCCTGATAGACTGGATTGGAAGCTACTGCCAATGCACTGATATTGTCACACCACAATTGTGGTGGATTTAGAGGGAGATGAAGATCACGGAATATGTGGCGGAACCAAGACAAGGTGGCAGAGGTATAGGCCATTTGGCGATACTCAGCCTCTGTACTTGAGCGAGACACACCTCTTTGTTTTTTAGAACTCCAAGAGATCAAGTTATCCCCTAGAAAAATGCAATGGCCACCAGTGGAGCGACGATCATCGGGGTCACCAGCATAGTCGGCATCTGCAAAGGCTGTTAGGGACAACGAACTGGGTTTGTAAACGATACCGTGATTATGAGTGGCTTTCAAATAGCGAAGAATGCGCTTGACTGCAGCCCAATGTGTAGTTGTGGGTGAATGCATATATTGACAGACTTGATTTACAGCGAAAGCAATGTCAGGCCGTGTGAATAAGAGATATTGGAGAGCCCCAACAACACTGCGAAAATTTGTACCATCATCCAAGGGCTCACCCTCATACAAACTAAGCTTGCGGCCAGGTATGGCTGGAGTAGACAATGGTTTGGCGTCAGCCATGTTAGTTCGTTTGAGGAGGTCCAGGATATATTTTGACTGGGTTAAATACATGGCCGTCGGTGTTCTCGTAATTTCCATTCCCAAAAAATAATGCAAGGCCCCAAGGTCCTTCATTGAAAATTTGTTGCCCAATTGTTGAATCAATGTGGAGATGTGAGATTGATTATTACCTGTAACAAGGATGTCATCAACGTATATGAGTAAATAAATAACAGTAGTTCCATTGAAGTAAATGAACAGTGAAGAATCTGCCATTGATGCATGAAACCCGAGCTCTTCCAAATGTTGAGAGAAACACTGAAACCAGGCACGTGGAGCCTGTTTTAAGCCGTATAAGGACCGTCGAAGACGACATACATGTGCTGGAAACTGTGGATCGACAAAGCCAGAAGGTTGGCGCATGTATACTTCCTCAGTTAAGGAACCATGGAGGAATGCGTTTTTGACATCAAGCTGGCGTATGTGCCAGTTAAAATGAAGAGCCACGGAGAGAATAAGTCTGATGGTTGCATGAGTGACGACAGGACTAAACGTCTCGCTGTAATCGAGTCCTTCCTGTTGACGAAAACCATTGGCAACAAGACGTGCTTTAAACCTTTCAATGGAGCCGTCAGATTTACGTTTAATACGGTACACCCATTTATTTGGGAGAACATTCATTGTGGAATGAAAAGGAACCAGGGACCACGTTCCTGTTTGTTGCAGAGCATTGAACTCTTCTGCCATTGCCATACGCCATTCAGGGTACTTATTTGCCTGTGTAAAACAAGTAGGCTCAACGAGGTCATTAGTCACATCAGAAATAAGCGCATATTTGGGATTGGGTTTGTGAATGCCATCCTTTGAACGGGTGACCATGGAGTGAACAGGTTGACTGTGGCGTGGAGAGGAAGATGAGACAGGAGCAACACCTACTGCATTCGTAGAGGATAGAGGTGGGGAAAGGGCAGGTATAGAGTGGACAGGTGAGAAAGGTGATGGGGATGGAATAGGATTGTTTAATATAGGTGAATAGGTAAGATGTGGTGGTGTTGATGATGGAGTGAAAGTGATGGGGGGGTCCGGATGTAGTGGGAAAGTGGATGAGGGAGTGGAAGGGATGGGGGGGTCCGGTTGTAGTGGAAAAGTAAGTGGAGTAGGGTTAGGTTGTGTAGATGTTATGGCATGATGCACGGGATGGTGCGGATTTTGGGGAAAAGTAGGAGAAAAAGTGTTAGGTTGGGTGGAAAGTAAGGTGGGATGCGGATTTGGTGGGAAAGTAGTGGAGCTAGGATTCCTAGGGGGATTTATTAAAGGATGGGAATCAATGGGCAGTATCGTAGATGACTGGGAGGAGGAAGGCTTTGTAGAAATGGATTCTTTGTAGGGGAAAATGGTTTCATCAAATAAGACATGACGTGACAAAAATATGCGACCTGTGGACATATCTAAACACCTATAACCATGTTGATTTAATGAATATCCTAAGAAAATGCAACGTTTGGAACGAAATTGTAACTTATTAGTATTATAGGGACGAAGATAGGGAAAACATGCACACCCAAAAACTTTAAGAAAAGCATAATTAGGAGATTTGTGAAACAACTTTTGAAATGGAGACTCATCATGGAGAACTCTAGTTGGTAAACGATTGATCAAATAAGTTGCTGTATGAAAAGCATCATCCCAAAATGAAGTAGGTAAGGATGAATGAGCAAGGAGTGTGAGGCCAGTTTCAACTATATGACGATGTTTTCGTTCAGAAATGCCGTTTTGTTCGGGATGATGTGGACATGTAAAGCGATGGAAAACTCCATGTTGAGATAAAAAAGTTTTAAAAGTATTGTTGACGTACTCTCCTCCTCCATCGGTTTGGAGTGTTTTGAGTTTAGTATTAAACAAGTTTTCAACCAGTTTCTTGAATGACACAAAAGTAGAAAAAACATCGGATTTTAATTTTAATGGATATAGCCAAGAGTAGCGGGAATAATCATCAATGAATACTACATAATATTTAAAACCATTGATAGAAAATGAAGGTGAAGTCCATACATCGGAATGAACCAATTCTAATGGAGACAAAGACCTAGAAGTTGACAATTGAAAAGGTAACTTGTGACTCTTACCCATGGGACATGAGTGACAGAACTCACGAGTGACAACGCCTTTAATGGGCAATTTATTCCTAGAAACCAAACTTTGCAAAACATGAGAAGATGGGTGACCTAACCTAGAGTGCCAAATTGAATTGGACACTCTAGTACCTAAAAATGCAGACACGCCTTTATTTGTTGATGAAACACCAGAGAAGGGGTAGAATCCATTTCTACTCGGGCCTTGTAAAAGTATCCTCCCCGTGTGAAGATCCTGAACAGAATACGAATTAGGATATAGGGTTAGAGAGCAATTATTTTCTTTGGTAAAGCGATGGATGGATATAATATTGGTGGATGCATTTGGGCAAAGTAGTGTATTAGGTAAGCTAAAAGTGGAGTGAGGTGTACGAATGCAAGTGGTCCCTATGTGTGAAATTGGCAAACCTGTTCCACCAACAACTCCATTGATTTGGTCCATGCCATTATAAGGATGAGGATTCGAAAGACTGGCAGAATTATTTGTGATGTGAGCATTAGCCCCTGAGTCAAACAACCACTCCTGGATGGCAGGTGCTGTGGCAGAGGCAGAAGGTACCGTAGCAGCAAACGCTTGCAAGCGAGGGGCAGGAACGCGGCCCTCATAAGACATGTTTAGGCGGTTGAAGCAGTCGATCGCAGAATGGCCATGACGACTGCATATTTGACATTGAATGCGTCCATTAGTGAAAGGACTTTGAGAAGGAGCGGTGCCGAGAATCCCATCATTTTGGCGAGAGTGGGAGCCTGGGTGAGGGTTGGACCCATGTTGAGAGTGGGATCCTTGATTAGAGTGAGACCCTTGGTGAAAGTGAGGAGAGTTGCAGTGGCGATTTGAAGAGCCACGACCACTAGGAAAATGACTACGACCGCGAAACCCAGGAGAGGATCCTCGTCCCCGAAAAGATGCAGGTGCACGGTTGCCATTGCGGCCTGCTACAAGGGCAGTGAGGCCGTTGTCAGTACCAAATGCAGAATGCATTTTCTGTCGTCTTTCAGCGCCAAGGAGAAGTGCTTCCAAAGCACTGTAGGTAATGGCCTCATCACGAGCTTGGGCGGAGACAACGGTGCTTTCATAGGCAGGGCCTACGTTGTTGAGAATAATGGCAACAACATCGGAGTCTGAAACAGGAGCACCAGAGAGAGAGAGAGTATCTGCGAGACAATTAACTTTATCCAAGAATTCAGAGATGGAAGAATCACCTCTGTGGGTATTCATTAACTCACTGCGGAGTTGGAGAAGGCGACCGGTTGACTGAGAAGCATATCGATCACGTAGGGTTGTCCATGCAGAATGGGAGCTAGTTTTCCCAATTAAAGCAGCAAGTACAGTAGGGTGAACAGAAGAGTTGATCCAGGACAGAACAGTGGCATCCTGTTGCATCCAAGTGTCGAAGTCGGGATTGACTTTGTCAGTGATGTTGCCATTATCATCTTGCAGGAAAGCGGGAGGACACTTACTGGTTCCTTCAACAAAGGAAACAAGATTACGACTACGGAGGAGAGGTAGCATTTGGGCGTGCCAGAGGGGGTAGTTGGTACGATCAAGTTTGATCGTGAGAAAGTTGGAGACATTTGGGAGGGGAATGGGAGAGGAAGAATAAGAAGCCATGTGAGGAGAGAAAAAAAAAAATCTGTCGTTAGACTTTTAGCTCAGAGATACCATGAAAGAATTTAAGCTAGGGTTGTAAACATAGATTGCATAAACTCAACTCAATTAATTATGAGTGAGGTATGGACTTCATTATATAGAGATTACAAGATGAGGTTGGTTACATATCATCTGATTACATTTGAAAATCAAAAC